TTGTTTGTTTTTTGCTTGGGGCGGCCAAAAAGCCGGAGCCGGCCCTGCCTCCCGGACACACTCCTGATACGGCTCCCTGCAGTGTAGATCACTTTTCCTTCTAGCTGCCGAGGTGGGCCAGAAACTGGCCTCAGCTTAATTTCCCCATTCAAGTGAAAGCAGCCCTTTGCCCCTCCTGCTCAGTACGGCAGTGCAGGGATCGCATGGCTAGCAGCTCCAGGCCTCATGTTACAACTTCAATTTGGACCCTTTAGCCTTCATCTGAAGGGCTGTCCTAGTGCTCACCTGAACTGCAGCCTGTGGGCTAAACCCAGCTCCCTGGAGCTCCGGAGTGGGGATGCTTCAGACCCGCTGGTGACCTCAACAAGCAGTGTCTCGTCATTGGTCAGCGGAGACATAAGCACCAGCCAGCGGCAGAGCTACAAGCCGTTATTTGAGGGGTTTAAAAAATATGCAAATGTAGATGGAAGCTTTGGGATCCTGGCAATTGTCAATGCGGCCCTTAATGTAGCGAAGTCTGGGCACCGGTTAGCCACACCCCACGTGACCAGTGACGGGTACTCAACAGGCCATGGAAGTGAAGCCAGCCAGCGGGAATGGGGTGAGATGGCAAATATTTTTCTCCTCAGGGTCAAGCTCAGACTAGGCATCTGAAGCCTGTTCCATCCCTCCTGCCTATCTTCCCCTTGCTCCCTTCAGCTGTTGGCCTGGCCTGATCTGTTTATTTAGTGTTGATCGTTCACATCCTGCATCTTTATTAGATTATTTGTTTAAATATATTTTCATTTTAATTTCCTAGAACTCTGTGGCAGCCTGCCCCGCTGTCTGTAAACAGATTAAAATGCTCATGTGGAAATGTCTGCTCAGCTCCTGGGCTTAGCCATATGGTGCTGGTTAATCAGATGCTGGTTGCAGGGAGATGGTAGATGATGGAGGAACCTGGCATTTGCTGGAGTGGAACACTACTCACCTGACACTTCCCCAGATGCCTGTGCAGCCAGTTTTCCAGCACTGCACTATCTCTGCCTCCTGTGCTGGTTTCCCCTGGACCTCGTCTTATCCATGCCACCGACATACACAGTAAGAGAGGAAGGTTTGGAAGTTTAAAAACTAGCTCCTGGCTGCCTTGGTTCTTTGTGCTCAGGAGCCTTTTCCGACGTGGGACCCACAGCAGAGCCTGGCTGCATGTCTGGTGACTTCCACCTCTTCCCGCTCACCGGCCATGCAAGTGGGGTATGTGCTCCTGTCTCTGAGGTCAGGATCCAGCTCCCAGCCTTATTCACTCCATTGGCTCAACGTATGTCACAGGAACCCCAGGGTGGTTTCCTCTCGGAAGCTGCGTTTTGGTTGGGTTTGATCCCTCTGAGTTCTTGCAGGAGGGGATGGACAAGCCCCTGGGAGTTTGCAAAGCAGCCCTTGTTTCCCCAAGACTGGAGAGAATGATGGGAGAAGACAGCGCAGCGTCTCAGGCGGAGGGAAGCAGGGCAATCTCTAGGTCTGGCCGCCGCATTTCAGTGCTGCGTGGCCCATGGATTTCAGATTCCACCTGAATCAGAGAGTTGTGAAAGGCCTGTTCTTTCTGGGAGGGACAGCCAACGCCACGGGGGAAATGCTCAACCAGAGCAACGCTGGCAGCTTCTGAACTCGGCTGAGGGAAAGTCGCCATCGAAATACTTAATCTTGCAAGCAAACAATCAAACGGGACAGAGAATAACAAGCCTATTGCAAGTGAAACAAACAGTGTGGAGTGAAGGGGAGCCCAGGGCAGGCAAGGTGAATAACCAGTCTCTGATCAAAGCCCAATCTCCTCCATAGTGTAAACACACCCCAGCTACCATTTCTGCTCCCCTCCAGGCCCAGACCAGCTGGGAAGCAATCTAAAAACCAGATTGGGGATGGGGAGAGAGATGAGTACTCCCAAGTAAAATATTGAGCTGGCCCCTGGGACAGTCAGTCGGTCGGCACGTGGCTGGCAGGGAAAGTGGAGCTGCGGTGCAGAGACGTTCCTAGGAGAGCTGCTTTCGGGATGGCAAGCGGAGCACTGGATTTGGAGGTGGGATAGTGTGGGTGTTAGGAGGAGGCTAGAAGGAGTGTGGTTTCCTGAAGATGGATGTCAGTGCGCAGGATTCGGACAGTCTCTGCTGCTTGCTCACTGTTAAGCCAGGGGACGCTGTCTCGTGTGCGTGACTGGGACCCAGCCAAACCAAAGCTTGCTGCTCTGTGGGACTAGAGCAAAGAGTATTTGTGGGGTCGTTGGAGCCAGTCAGGGCCCCTTCCTTAGGGCTCGTCTACACAGCAAAGCTTTCCAAGTCCCATATAAAACCCATGTGGACATGCTTAGTCCAGGACAAGAGTGGGGGTTTATGGTTTTGCTTAAACCCCTCAAAAGCAACATAAGCCGGTGCTGGAAGAGGAGCATTCCCGTGGGGATTACACCAGCATAACTCCAGCCTTTCACATTCCCCCCGCAGCATGGATCACTCTAACCCTCCGACGGGTAGACAAGACCTTCGACGTCAGTGGAGTTGTGCTGGGGGTCAGGCCCGTGCCCAGTAACTGGGCGGATTTAAAGGAGATCAGGATGGAGACAGGTGCGATTGGTTGTGATGTCTGTGAAGCATGGACGACACGAATAGTCTAGTCTGCCCACCCAGGAGCTCGGTGAGAGATTCCCGCCCACCCAGGCCCTCTAAACAACCTTGTGCAGTTGGCTCCGGGTAAATCTAAGGGAGGGGGATTCCCCCTTTCTTTGGATTACCCAGGAAAAGCTGGGCCAGACACAGGATACCAGGGGGGACCAGCTATTGAACTTCCCTGGCATTAAGGCCAGGCCAAGTCCCCTGCCTGCATCTGCAGGGCTGACAAATCCTGCTTGGGCATAATGTGAGCTGCACACGCAGGCTGGACTGGATTCAGATCTCGGAAACTGGGGCACCGCTATTGTAGCCAGATTGACACTGGTGTAACTGAGAGCGTAATCTCTCCCCGCCCTGTGCAGCAGAGGAGCAGGAGGCTCAGGGGAGAGCACCTGATGGGATTAACTCCTACAAGCCGTTTTCCTGCCTGCCAGAAGTTAAAAGTAGGAGGTTCTGGGATGGCTTTTTCAGGCTGTTCACGTCAGTCCCAGCAGCGGCCAAGAGCGCATCTTGCCTGTCTGCTTCCCTGCACTGAAAACATGTCCCTACTCTGCCGAGTGGGGCGTAAGCCCCACTAGTGGTGTCTCCCCCACCCCAGTGAAGGGGCGGCACATGGGAAAGGGACGCAGAGACTTTCCCCTGAAACGGTCCCAGCACAGAGACGGAACAGCGAGGCCCTTTCTCTGGAGACCTGAACTTTGTTTATTCAAGAAAACTGAAATCCAACAACTGCAGCTGCTTGTGGCAGCCAAACAGCCAGACCCCCTCGTGGCTTCCAGCCATTGCAGCTGGCTAGGAGAAGAGTCCCCGGCAAGGGCTCCCTTCTGGTTTATTTCCACCCCCTGTCCTTTGGGGCCCGGGGCTCACAAACTCCCTTTGTCTGGCATAAGATACAAGAGGTTTGTCCGCCCCTTCTAGCCCCTGGGAACTTGCTGGATGGTCTGAAGATCTGGGGTAGCCTTGAGGGGTTTTACACTCCTCTCCATCCGCTGAGAGGTTGGAGCCTAGCTCCGGTTTGGTGTGAGAGGGGCCATGTGCTCAGCAGCAGCAGAGTTCTCTTCGTCCATGGGCAGTAGAATCTCAGCTGGTGCAGAGGAGCGCTGCAGGCCCATCGCTGCCCAGTCGGCAGCCCCCGTCCCCAGTGCACAGGTTGTAAGTCAGCGAGTGTTTGTGGATAAGTAGGCAGGGTATTGTGACAAATCTGTGCTTTGGGGCATGCTTGGAAGTTAGTTGGGGCAGTGGGGACGGAGCACAGCCAGCCCCTTGTCTCTGGCATTTGTCGGACAGAGTTTTCAAGACAATCAGCAGCCAGGTTGGCCCACTTCTCCTGGCTCCTTTGCCCCCTGAAGTATCAAATACCTCACAGTGCTGTTATCTGCTGTGCAGGCGGGCTTGACACTGGCCTCTCTTCCTTTAAAACACTCCCACCCCGGGTTCAGCTCTCCCTGGGGGAGAGACGGCGTGTACATGTCACCCTAATGCGGGCGCTGTGTCTGCCCGAATGTCGCCCTGTGGTAGCACTGAAGGAGCTGAACCAGCAGCCCCTGCATAGAATAGGCCAGAGAGTGTCCGGGGGAATCTGGCTCCTGCCGTCGCGTGAGGTTCCAGAAGGAAAGCGCAGGCACGACGTGCTGGATTCCAGGGGGCCCCGTTCAGGATGTGCCGCTCCAAGCTCCCCGTCCACTGGCAGTTTGCCTGGCAGCTGGGGGAGTAAGTTAGATGTGGCGAGTAGCAGGGAGTCAGGAGTGAAATGGCAGGCAGAGCCCCCCGTTTCTGAGGCCCACTCTGTGAATCTGTCTATTCCAGGTCCTCGGGAGTTCAGGCAAACTGTACACCTGCTACGCCTCCTGCCACTTCTGCACGTGCCCTGCATTTGCTTTCTCCGTGCTGCGGAAGAACGACAGCCTGGTGGTAAGCTGCCTGCCTTGAACAAGGCGGGGGGGAGTCTGTGCCGCTGACACACTTCCCTGAGCTGGATTTCATGTACCTGGGTTGTGCAAGGGAGGAAACGCGCAAGTGTTGAAACGTTGGAGCAGTCTGTGGCCACCATGCCCTGAGCCGACAATGGGGAGTCATGTGTGAGCAGCCGGGCTCATGGGATAGTGTTGGTTTGCAATGAAGTGTTACTATTTATGACAGTAAAGATCAGTGGCTCCTGAACTCATCCTCAGGCTGCCTTTGTTGTAACAGGTTTCAGAGTAGCAGCCGTGTTAGTCTGTATCAGCAAAAAGAACAGGAGAACTTGTGGCACCTTAGAGACTAACAAATTTATTTGAGCATAAGCTTTTGTGCGCTACAGCCCACTTCTTCAGATGCATGCAGTGGAAAATACAGTAGGAAGATATATATACACAGAGAACATGAAAAGATGGTGGCCCCCAATTGTGTGTGTGTGTGTGTGTGTGTGTGTGTGTAAGTAATCTTTCTGCTGTATTTCCCACTCCATGCATCCGAAGAAGTGGGTTTTAGCCCACGAAAGCTTATGCCCAAATACATTTGTTAGTCTCTAAGGTGCTACAAGTACTCCTGTTCTTTTTGTTATAACAGAGTCTCTACTGGATCCCAAAGGGGAGCCTCATCTGCACTGAAGTTCAGTACACTTGCCTACAGGAGAGGGGAACAGTCAGTGTGGGGGCTGAGGTGATGATAAGGGTGCAGGGCACAGCAGTGCTTCATAATTCACTTCCCCACAGGGAAGAAAGACCCTTCAGTCCTCTGGGTAATATCCTGAGAGCAGAGGGCATCTCACATCGGTGAGCTGATATAGTCAGCAGGAAGCCTGTTGTCTCCATTTCCTGCCCTCCGAATAGAGGGGCCAGGCCCATGGTGTGTTTATATGGGAACCATGTGGCTTTGAGTTGAAAAGACTTGGGCAAGGGCCTGCAGGAGCTAAGACCAGGGATGATCCTGGCTATGGCAGGCGTGGGGCAGTAGGGCCAGACATTAGTGAGCCTGGGTCTTTCCTATCGTTGATTCACTGGAGGACACAGTGTGAGTTGGGCCCTGTGGTATCTTCAGCCAGCTGTGTGGGGAGCAGGGGCACACTGCACACAAGACACCCAGGAGACCTGATGCAGGTAGGAGCCCCAGGCTGGCTGTACCAAAACCTCGGGGTGAACATTGCCTTGACTACACAGTTGATTTGGGCCCGGCTACTGCCTGGGGTAGAATTCTTTACCTGCTCTCTAGCTTGTGCCCGGGTTCTCTTTGCTGGGATTGGAACACGTTGGGGTCGGGAGGAAGCCCTTCTTTAAACCCATCCATTCATGGGTCACCTTTATTGCTAATTTCCTCACGTCTGTATCTTGCAGTGTAAGCACATCCTTGCCATGTACCTCAGCCAGGCCACAGGCGCATGCCAAGAGCTATCTGTCTCTGACCAGCAGCTGGCAAGCATCTTACTGGCAGAAGAAGAGGAGGAAGGACCTGGGACCGTGTGCTAACACCCTCTCTCCTGCAACGCCTCCCTGGCTCCTCTGAGGTACATTGACTAACATCCCTAAGCCAAGGGATCAAGGCAGATAGTTTTCCTCCCAAGCTGAATTTAGGCTGGAAATTATTTAGCAGACCTGCACCGTTGTATTACTTAGTTGTGTTGTAATAAATGAATAATATGAAGCCTCATAACATTAGGCTGAGACTTTGTGACTTCCATGCCCTTCATCTCACCTGCTGCTGTGGTTCCTGCAGGAGCATTAACTATTTCTGGGCCTCAAGGGTTTGGGACAGTGGGGTTATGAATACAGAAGCGCAGTTTTTTTGGTGATTTCTTGGCCCTTCCTAATGCTTCCCTAGTGCAGGGTTGATCTCTTATAGTAGCTTCTTTGCCCCAACACATCTTTTGGGGCGGGCCTTTTATTAGTGTAGCAGCCTGAACCCCTCCAGGGTACTAAGGGTAACCCAGCAGGTAGAAAAATGTCATTGGTACCACGTTAGGCACATACCCAGCGGTCATTCCTGGGGGGATGTAGATGCAACCCTCATGGGAGGTTTATTGTATCATGTTTAAATGTTATGGGGCATAAAATCACAGAAAGGGCTGTAACTCGTAGAATCAGTCTAATTTTACCAAAATTGTCAGAAAGCTGCTAAATACAACTGATAATGCAAGTGTGTACTCCAAATAGTCCTGTGTTGGAAAGTTTGGGAAATATTTAACCCCCGGTGTGTATATTTTATGCGTTGTCCTATACTTTTTTGCCTTCAGTTACAGCAGAAATCTATAGTCATATGACAGTATGAGCATGTTTGTACCATGTAATTGTTGTCATTTGTAGAATGGACTCATTTGAGAAATGTTTTTCTGTCTGCTATTTTTATGAAGTTATGTAGATAACTCCTGCCCCTTAATTATAAAACATAACATCAAAAATATATCTGCTCAGCTGGAGACATTAAGCTAAACAAGCACATATGATACAACTGTGACAGTGTCCCTGAATATAATGACAATACACTGTACACAACTTATATAACTGTAAGGACTTTTAGTAGAAGGTCTTGTATGAATATAGCATGTGAATACTCTAATGTAGCCCCTACATACAACTATGAGCTATTTGAAATCTAATGCAATGCCCCTTTGGGCAATATTAACTGACAAAAATAGTCACAGAAATTTGCAGACTGTTGAAACATTTCTACTGCCCCTCAGAACCTGTCTCATGTGAGCCTCCCTCTGTTGTTCCTCTGGAAGCCTGTCCACCTTAATTAAATATCAATTGGCCTAAAGCATAAGTGCCCAAAAAGCAGCCTTGTGTGGTACAGTGCGGAGGGTATTAGGCGAGTCTCCAGCCACTGGACTAGGGTGTGATTCTGACTCCTGGCTGGGCCCCATCCTCCAAGGATCAGGATAAGGGGGAATTGAGCCCAATTCTCCCACCTCCTGAGTGAGAACCCGAACCACTGAGCTACACAATGGGCCTGAGAGTTGCTGTGACCCAATTATTTAATTAAAGTGGAGCAGCTTCGGCAAGAGCACCCCACACCAGCGCATCCCTTCGCGCCACGCTGAGCAAATGCACTTGAGAGCCCGCAGAAGCCTATCAAATCCCTTCTCCTCAGGCCCACCGGGGAATGAAACCAGACCCCCCTCCCCCAAATGGCTGAGTATCCAAACCACCCAGCTACAGCAGAGGCCTCTGTCCCCTTCGCCACTGCTGGTTTGTGGGGCATTAGGCAGATACTTAATCTCACAGGCAACGGTTTAGCACCGAACTCACCGGACCGAGTCCAGGAGCAGGTTCCTGCTGTGGGTCACACACTGCGATAGGCACCAAGCTGCATAAACAGCCAGGCTCAGCACCCCCACCCCAGCGGCTAACTCAGGCCGCTCCCTGCCTAGGGAGGGTCCCATTCTTAGCTGCCCAGCTCCCTCCCGCCTGCGCAGAGCGAGCCTAAGCACCTAACTCAGGCTTTGGGGATCCCAGCATTGTGCTGATGATTTTCTAGGCATCTAAAAGTCCATTGTGAAATGAATAACTGTTTTGATGTATTACATGGTGCAAACAAGCTCATCCTGTTATGTGGCTACAGACTTTTGCCTTAACTGACAGCAGCAGAGTACAGGAAAATGCATAAAGTATCTCCCCCGGGGCTAAGTATTTCCCAGCCAGCCCTATTTTGAGTACACAGTTACGTATCAATTGTATTTAGAAGCTTTCTGCCAATTTTGGTCAAAATTAAACAATGTTTCTTCATCTAGGCCCTGAGTGACGCATCCCAGAGCCCAACTCCACATTGAGTGTTGTGTCTGTTGCCCCCCGCACTCCGGCCACCTGGCTCTGTCTCATTTGCAAACGCGGCCTGTTCTCATCTAACATCGCTACCGGAAGGGCATGCCCAAAGAAACGACACGGCGCAAGGTTAGGTTGTTTTCAGTGGTAAATTTAAGTATTCGTTCTGTGTGTAAATAACAAAGTTACTGTAACTACAAAGCCCAAGTAACAAGTGGCAAATACCATCCAGCCTATGTACATCAGGAACACGTGGGTTAAGTGACATGTGAAGAACTCCAGACACGGGCGGTGCAGAGTTCCTCTGCCATTTTACTTGGATTCACATTTTTAGAAATCTTCAGCGCTCATTTTTTTTCCTTTCAAACAACGTGGTTAATAAATTAAAAGAAGCCAGTGGCACATCCCAGCTAGGGAAATGGTGACAACAGCACATGGCAGTCCCTCTGGCTCCTCACAGGTATATCAGAAGGGCTCTGTAGTGGATCCTGGCCTGCAGTGTAAACCGTCACCTACAGCTATTCCTTGATCAGTCATTAACTAACTGCTGGGCCCCTGCTTTAGTACTGTGCATTATGCTCTCTTTCATGCACTCTAGACTGCGATTTGTTTTAAGGAGAAGGAGGCCAGCACTCGGTTTTTGTTGCAATGACATATGTGGGTTGCAACCCTCCCCGACCCACGGGTGAGACCCTGGCTGGTCCCTTCCATGATTAACAGGAGCGAGGCGGCCAGGGACAATAGAGAGATTGAAATGAGATGAGTCCTGCTGAGAAGGCAGGAAGTGGTCACATCTGTGGGACGGACTGGGAGCAAGGAAGTTGCACCAGAGATGAGCTGCAAAGAGAAGGAGAAAGACACAGGGCCATAATTTTAACCCTTTTGATACTAGCTGAAGGATTAACAGGCTGACTGGAGCCAAAGTTGGGACCTGATATAAGTTGACGGCAGCAGGTGCAATACCATCGAAATCACAGTTTGGATTCAATCAGGTTTGGATCTGGCCCTTTGTAGCCACAGGGCAGCTAACCCATCTCCTTGCCTCCTAGCGCAATGGATGGTTAGAGGCCCTTGTTCCCACAAACACCCAGTCTCACACCTGCTGATCCACAGCAACCTCCCTCATTGACCCCATCAGGTCCGAGGCTTAGTGTAAGAAATAGAGAATTTGTTCTTAATTCCGTTTAGTGCAGTGCAAAATCAACTAAAAGAAATGGAAAGCTGGCTATAGCGTTATTCATGTTACATTTACCAATGACAGACCGCTCTAGCCATCCCATACCTGCCCTCTTCACAGCGACTGCCTTGCGAAGAATGGCAGGAGCGGGCTTTGGCTTCCATCGCTCTCACTCAGGTTAATGGCACTTCTTTCCCCACAGACTCCTCCTTCCCACAACCTGGCCCCAGAGGGGCAGCTCTGAGAACCTGCATCCCCATCCCTTTCTCTGAGCATGGGCTGTGCCTGTGAGAGCTGCCCAGCGGCGACCATATTAAATACACAGGCATGAACTACAGCTCCCTGGTGATCACATGCCAAGTGGCTTAGAGATTAAATTTGCCACTTCATTGGCACTTTAAGAACCTTCTCCTAAGGTTCCAGTATAGAAGAGGGTTGCAGCCTAAGCCTGTAGTTTGCAGACCTAGGCGTTGTTTTGCCCTGTAACAAGCCAGTCTCTTCTTTCCATTAGCACTGTTACTGGGTATCATTTTTAATGGCCAGTCTGGAGGCTGGTAGGAAATCAGGCCCTTTTGCCATTTCTGCCCTCCCTGTCTGTGTCGTACAGCCTCGCAGCCGTAGGCGTGTGGGGCAAGGAGAGGGCTAGTTTTACTGGAATTCTGAGCCCCCTTAGAACAAAAGGGCATACCAGGTACACACAGCTGCTCCTTGCATCCTGAATGACAGCTTCAACACAGTCAACCCCTTTGGAGCGAATAATGATGCAAAGGCTGCATTATTCTCCCCACCTGTGTGTCATTGTGTGTACCCAGTTCATATATTAAATAGGGCTTAGTCATTTAAAACCCCCAAAAGCTAGGCTTGCCGAGAGTTAGTAACCCGCAGTGCACATTAAGGCATCTCTGCCCTTCAGTGGAAATATAGAACAGTCAGTGGCCAAGACGGTGCAAATTAGCCCCTGAGCCAGGGCTGTGGTTGTAGCAATGTTCGACCCAGTCTAACCTCCCCAAGAACCAAACCTTGCTCTCTCGTTAGCACCTGTTCCAAAGGGCTGGGCTGTGCCATGGGTCCATTGCTTGCAAGACAGCATTCTAACTTCACAGGCCAATTAAATCCCCTCCAGGACCTTCAGATAACCAGACATAACCCCCCAAAGCTAGGAGAAAGACTTCTCAACATCCTGAGCTCACCCCACAGTGCACTGGGAATGCAGCATGGCCCTGGGGCTGACAGTCATCAGAACAGGAGTTAGGTGCAAGGCCAACAGGAGCTGCAGCTCTTGAGGGCACAGAGCAGCACACACTTGGATCCTGCCCTCTTGAAGGCAGCATGAGCTTTGCCCTTGACTTCAGAGGTAACAGGACGGATCTGACCCAAAGCCCATGAATCAGTGGCATCTTTTCATTGACGTCAGTGGCCACTGAAGCAGCCTCACTGTGAATACCAGCAGCGTTTGGCTTGTTGGTAGAGCAGCAGGTGTTCACTGCTAGAGATGGGCTACCAGGCTCCATGGAGCATAGTCAGTCCTATGAAAGGGGGTGAGCACAAGATCTCCTCTCAACTATCAGACTTCGAGCAGGGCATCCTTTTAGGAACGAGGCCGGATCTCCATTTAACTGCCTTGTTTCCTCATTAACACCAACCCATCCCCTCTGACTCTGGGTCATGGCTTCAGTTTTACACCAGCAACTGGACTACATAAGATTATTTCCCAT